AAAAAAAAAAAAAAAAAAAAAAAAAAAAAAAGAAATAAAACCAGACACAGACGCAGTCAGATCATAATGTTATTAGAGCAACCTTACATTCAGGACATTTTAGATAGACTATTAAAGCAAGAACATGTCAAATAAAATGCAGATTTATGAACTACCAAGATATTACAAGAGATTTCTTTCTTAGTCATTTCACACTAAACTTTCTTTCTTTCGTCCTTTCTTTGACAGAGAGAGAGCATGCAAGCACAGCAGCAAGGAGGGGCAGAGGGAGAGAGAGGATCTTAAGCAGACTCCATGCCCAGTGCAGAGCCTAACACAGGGCTTGATCTCAAGACTGTGAGGCCATGACCTGAGCCGAAATCAAGAGTTGGACACTCGATTGACTGAGCCACCCAGGCGCCCCAACACTAATTTTTCTTTAAAGTCAACCATGTTGACTCCTTGGTATTCATTGTAAGATGAAGACCACTACTTTAACAAGATCATATGCTTTCTGACAAGCCTTTCAATCAAGCAAAGAACATTTTTTAAAAGCCCACTCCTCTTCCCTACCACCGTAAGGGGTAAATATGACTCTTTTAAAAAATCAGCACTTAAGCACTTTAAATCCTCAAAGAAATAAAAAGACTGCACAGTTTTTCAAATTAAAACACAATAGAGGCATCTGGTGATTTGTCAATTCCTCAATTCTCATTCTCTGCCCAACCTGAAATCCTTCCAGCCATGATCTGACAATTATTTTTTGCCTTATTTCAAGCCCTCATTCCCCTTGCAAGACATTTTATATGAAGAGAAGCCAAATGCTAAGTGCCTTTGCAGTGTTAATGAGGAAATAGATCTTGGAAGAAATCATTTGAGACAAGGAGACTGCCTGCAGGAAACGGCTGTTTCTTTACTTTCGATGACAGCAACCATGATCGAGTGTACTACTATCCCCTGCGCTGTGAAATGTGCTCATCCTAAACCAGTGACCTTTTACCTTTGAGGTCTGAGTCCCACTAGGAACTGGATAAAAGCTATAAACACTATCTCCCCCAAAATGAACATAAATATAACATCTAAAGGTCCACATATGCAAGGTCAAAATCTCTACTTTACACAGATCCTAACGCGTATCGGTTAAAACTTGATTTCAATACTCACAAGCTATGAGGGTGTCTTTCAAACTTGATGAGAGTTTTCATGTTCTAAATGTTTTTGCTGCTAACATGGAGAAACATTCTCAAAACTATTTTGAAGTTTGTCAAACTATGCCACTAATTAATAACAATAACTTCCCCTCTACTTTGTGGTTGCAAAAATCATTCTCACACATAAGTATTGCTGTGACTTCGCCCAAATAAATCTGAGTTTGCTCATATACAAATAAAATAAAATGAAATTACAAAACAATAAAGTGATAAAAATGAAACAATTTTTTAAATGACAGAAATGAAATAAAATGTAAAACCCAAATCTATAAAACTTCCAGAAGAAAACATAGAAGAAAATCTGTGTTACCTTGGGTTAGGCAAAGAGTTCTAGGTGGGATAATCCATAGAAGAAAACAGTGATAAATTGGACTTCCTCAAAATTAAAAAGAAAAAAGTGACTTCAAAACAAAACTCAATAAGAAGGCAACTGAACAGGACATGGGCAAATGATATGCACAGAAACCTCACCAAAAACAAAACAGAGTAACAAAGAAGCACATGCAGTTCAACAGTGTTAGTCATCAAGGAAATGTGAATCTGTTAAAAACAGAATGAGATACCACTACACATCTACAAGAATAATTAAAATTAACAAAATTGTTACCTGCTAGCAAGGCTGTAGAGCAAATGAAACTCTTACACTATCCTAGAAGAAGTGCAAAATGGTACAGTCACATGGAAAATAGTTTGGCAGTTTCTTATAAAATTAAACATACACTTACCATAGAATCTAGCAATCCTACTTCCAGGTATTTATCTGGGAGTATAACATATGTACAAAACACGTGGATACAAAGAGCTGTATGTGAATGCTTACAGCAGCTTTATTTATTCATAATCACCAAATACTGAAGGCAACCCCAAAGTCCATCACCTGGTGGTATATCCATTCAACTGAATAGACCTCAGCAATAATAAACAATGAACTACTGTTATATGCAACAACATGGATAAATCTCAAAAGTGATGTATTAAATAAAACAATCCAGACAAAAAGTGCTATGTATCTTATGATTCCACTATTACGATATTCTGGAAAAGGCAGAAACAGAAATCAGATCATTAGTTGCCAGGGGCTGGAGGTAGGGCAAGGGGATTGACTATAACTAGGTACAAGGGAACTTTTTGAGCTAATGGAATCATTCTATAGATTAATGTGGTTACACAACTATATTTTTCAAAGTATTTTTCAAAATTCATGGAACTGTACTCCCAAAAGAAGTGAATTTTATAGTATATAATTTATATATTATAAACCTGACTTTAAAAAATAACTAAGAATATACCAGGAGAAAACATCAATTTAATTTATATCTCAACATAGCATAAAAGGTATCAATATCCAGGATATGTACAGTAATCTTACAAATCAATACAAAAAGGACAGTGACATTTAAATTGGGCAAAGATAAAGACAGGCAATCCACAGAAGACCAATTATCAATAGTCAACAGATATAAACTGCTCAATCTCTCCAGTAATCTGACAAATGTAAATTATAACAGAGTGATCACCATTATTTTCCCATCAGAAAGACAAACTTTCCAAATAGTGAAAATACCAAGTGTTGATGCCTACAAAGAATAACTATAATCTCTAAAATAAGACCCCAAAAGATTTACATCAATGGGGATGATGGAATTTCAACTATGTTTATACTTAGCTAAATTAAAAGACAAGAATAACCTTTAAAATAGTTGGGTGGTTGTCTTTGCCATTCCAGTCAGTGGACTATCAGGTAAGGTGAGATAGTCCTGAAGATGCTCGTGTTGGTTTCATCACTTCTGGAACAGTGTGTCTGCCTAATACAGACTGGGGAGACCACAGAAGGGATGCATGAATGAATGATTCTAAGGATTTACCAGCCCAACAATCAAAGAGTGATGTCCACGTAGCCATTCAAATGGGTCCAGACTCCTCGACATTGTTAAGAAAGAAACTGAAGTATGAAATGAGGGCCAGAGCAAAATTTAGAAGAATAAAGACATAATGGAACTCATAAATTTATCCTTCTACTAATTTTTGGTGACAAATAGGAAAAGTCTATAAATCAGAATTTTAAATATTCTCAAAATGAAAGCTTTTCAATGGTTTGATTTCTGTAATCTCTACACCCAACATGGGGCTCAAATTCACAACCCCGAGATCAAGAGTCGCATGCTCCACCAACTGAGCCAGCCAGACTCCCCTCAATGGTTGAATTTCTGAATTGGGTTGCTCCCAGGTGATTTAAGAGTTTGTCCAGGGATATTTTTGACTGCATCCAACTTTGACTTTAGCGCTGACTTCTAAACCTAATACAGTAAAACGTGACTCCACCATATAACCTCATCAAGGGCACACAGATCCTGTAGTAACAATATTTTTTTTTCCTTTTTTTTCCTGCAGTACACCTACCTTAGTACTAGACAGGAGGTGGGACCTCAGTTACTTGAAGGAGTAAAGAAGAATGGGGAAGAATCATCTTCATAAATTACACAGTATTTGAAGTATTGTCAAATGGAAAGGACAAGACCCAACAGAGGAAGGGAGGAAGAAACAGATCCAAAGTAAACAGGCGAACACACACAGAGGACAACACACCTGGTATCCAGCAGAGTTGGTGATTAAGTCATAGCAACCAGCTACTAACTAGGCCTCATCATGGGGCACTTTCTGAGCACAAAGTTGCTCCACTGTAAAGGCAGGTTAATCATTAAAATCACTTCACAGGACCACGGCTATGAAATGTGACCATATATGTGACCATATTGGTCAGGAATTGATCCTCACAGTCTTCCTGAGAAGGAAAGGGGGAGGGAAGGAAGGGAGAGGGAGCGTGGCACCCCATTTGGGAGAGAAACGATGGAAAATGATTTGCCCAAGGCCTCACATCTACATAGAAGCAAAGTGAACACCCAGGTGGGAGGATCGGCTATTCTACTGGGAATGAGAAGAAGGGGCGAGGGAAGGCTGAGGAGGAATGGGGTCTGGAAAGCTTGAGTAACACCTGGGATGCAGGTTCCTCTCCCCCCCCCCCCCCCCCCCCGTTGTTGTTCCAGGGTCCGAGTCCTTGCAGTGATCATGGGGTCACAGTTCGAAGGACTTGGGGACTGGCTGGGACATCCTCTCCTCGTGTTCCGAGGAGAGGAACCTGCATCCCAGGTGTTACTCAAGCTTTCCAGACCCCATTCCTCCTCCAAGACCCTGCGTCCAACTCACAGACGCCGCAGCCAAGGAGTCCCTCGGTACCAGCTCCAAGCAGCCTGCTCTCCTCCAGCAGTCTGGGCCGAGTTGTTGCCATCCGTTGCCACAGCAACGACAGAGCGCCGCACGGCCTAGCAAGCTGAAACATGATTGGAGCAGGCAAGCGTCCATAGCAACTGCCAGGCCGCACTACTTGGTAGGAAAGAATTTCATTTTCAGGAATTCTTCGGACACCTCTCCCTAAAGGCATCCTTCGGCAGGCACCTGTCCTAGCTCTTTAAATGTAATTCATGCAGTATCTCATTAAAACATTTGTCTCTCTGTGTTACTGTGAGAGTTCTCATTTTCACAGAATTTTTTTTAAAATTTTTTTACATTTATTTATTTATTTTTGAGAGACAAAGAGAGACAGAGCACAAGCGGGGGATGGGAAGAGACAGAAGGAGACATAGAATCCAAAGCCGGGTCCAGGCTCCGAGCTGTCAGCACAGAGCCCGACACGTGGCTCGAACTCACAAACCGCGAGATCATGACCTGAACCGAAGTCGGAGGCTCAACTGACGAGCCACCCAGGCGCCCCTCCACAGAAATATTTAACTTGGGGTCAATTTTACCTCTTCAGGTAAAATGTCCATGAACTCCCCTAAGTTACATGCAAAAGTTTATGTCCATTTACTCAGTAGGATGGTCCATAACTGTAGATTTTCAAAGGAGGCAGAACCAGAACCCAAGACAGTCCAAAAGAATAACTTCTATATGCATTAACCCCATCTTCCTTCTCAGAGACCACAGATAAGAATAGTACGGTTCTGGGGGGCCTGGCTGGCTCAGTCCATAGAGCATGCCAGCTCTTGATCTTGGGGTTGTGGGTTCCAGCCCTGCAGTGGGTGTAGAGATTACTTACAAATAAAATCTTTTTATTTTTATTTATTTTTTTAATAGATTTTTTTTACTGTTCATTTATTTTTGACACAGAGAGAGAGAGACACAGCATGAGCAGGGGAGGGGCAGAGAGAGAGGGAGACACAGAATCTGAAGCAGGCTCCAGGCTCTGCGCCGTCAGCACAGAGCCCGACGTGGGGCTCGAACTCACAGGCTGTGAGATCATGACCTGAGCCGAAGTCGGATGCTCAACCAACTGAGCCACCCAGGCACCCCTAAAATCTTTTTTAAAAGTAATGTGGGGGACGCCTGCATGGTTTAGTTGGTTAAGTGTGGGACTCCTGGTTTTGGCTCAGATCATGATCTCCATGGTTCATGAGTTTGAGCCCCATATCAGGCTCTGTGCTGACACTGCAGTGCCTGCTTGGGATTCTCTCTTCCTCTCTCTCTCTGTCCCTCCCCTGCTCACTCTCTCTGCCTCTGTCTCTCAAAAATAAATAAATAAACTTAAAAAATTTTTTTAAACAGTGCAGTTCTGCAGTTCTTGCCAGACTTTAGATTGTGGCCTCATTCAAACCCTGCCTTGGAACAGCTCCCAAAGACTTTAACTAACTCTTGACATTCATTCATTCATTCATTCATTCACTCAATAAATATTTATTGATCACTAATTATGGGGTCATACATTTGTCAGAGAGGCACCTTTCTAGCCACTAGACTATAGCAATTATGAAAACAAAGTCCCTAATTTCTTAGAGTTTTCCTTATGGTGTGAGAGACAACAGATGAATAAACAAGGTCATTTTAGTTTATGACAATAAATAAAATGTGGTGATATGACATCAAGTGTCTAAGGTAACACGCCCTATAGACAGGGTGGTCAGAGCAGTTCACATAGAGGAGATGGCCTTTGAGCCAAGACGTGAGAAGACAGCAGCTAAAGAAGAGCAAGGAAGACGGAAACACAGGAACAGGAAACGAAGTTAAAAGAAATGAATTTGAATGTTAGAGAAAATGAAAGGCCAATATAGCTGAAAAGGAGACAGCTTGTAGGGCTGTGGGAAGATGCAATCAGATTGCCCTTCCCCTAGCTCTTCAAAGGACTGGCAACTTCTCCTTCCTACTCCCTTACTCCCCCATCCCCAGTCACACCCTATCACATTACCCCAGTTCTTTCCTTCATAGCCCTTGTGGCTTTTTACTGTCTGTGAGCTCCCCAAGGACAGAGACATTACTCAACACAGGATCCCCAGCACCTAAAAAAATTGGCCCAGCATGGACACCAAATAAATATTTGCTGACTGCATCAATCTCCATATTACAATACTAGGAATAGTGATGGATCGTGGGGACAAGACAAAGACACCTCTGCCTTTATGAAGGGTAAATGCTTGGTGGAATAAATGAATTAAAAACTATGTGGGCAAATGAAATGTAGGCAGAATTGAATGATTTAGACTATACATGCTGTGGAAAGCTGATGAACAGCTCCCTTGATAAGTTCTTCATTCTATTATATTTCTGTTCAATTTCACAAATATCCAGTGCTAACTATATGCCAAGCACTGTGGTATATAGTAATGACCAAGAAGAATACCAGTCTTCACTGGAAAGCTTACAGTCCACTGCCATGCTGTCTATGACAGTAGCCAGCAGATACTTGGGGCCACTGAGCACTTGGTATGTGGCTGGTCCAAATTGGAATGTGCAGCAAGTATAACCTCCAGATTTCAAAGACTTAGTTCAAAACAAGACTGTAAAATATCTCATTAAATTTTTTTTAATATTGATTTCATATTGAAATAATAACATTTTGGATATATTGGGTTGAACAAGATTGTCATTAAAATTATTTTCACTTGTCTCTTGTTTTTTAATCTAACTGTTAGAAAATGTTAAATTATGTGTCTGGCTTGCATTATATTTCTATTGGACAGCACTGGTCTAGTGGGAGTTTAATGCAGGTTGAATAAACAAGTGACATCTTATTACAGATGTTAAAGTAGACATTTCATCTGAGGCAAAATAGCTAGCAAACTTCAAACAGAGGAAATAGATCAAGAATTTACAAAAAAGTAGGTTAGACAACTCTTAAGACTTTCACACATGAGTGTATGAAAGGGTCAGGAGTAGACGATTGGGAAGGATTTCTTCAAAGAGGGCTGAGCCGTGAGCCCCACCTCCTAAACCTCCAGTCAAAATAAAGGGGCTTTGCGGAGACCACCAATGAGTTTAACACATCAGAGGGCACAGAGTGCTTGTGTCTGAATCCCACCTGGAATCTAAAGGGCAAGAGATGGCTGAACTTGTCAGCAGACAGCAGAGCAAAGGAAGAATTGTTGGGTTGGGGACAACTTGTCCCTTTCCCCCAAGATTTCTCAAGGTAAAAAAATGCATGAGGATTTTCTATGGAGCAGATGTGGGCCACTCAAGAAAGATGTGTAGGGTCATTTTGGGTCCTTCTAAGAGGAAAATCTGGTGGGAAAAGAGACTTCAGCCAAGGGAAGCTGAGGATACTGTTAGGTTTCTAGGGGCCAAGGAAAAGCAAAGAACCAAGCAAAAGAGAGATGCATTTGATCCCATTAAGAGAACTGCAGGGTACAGATAGATGCCCAGTGATGAGGGTAAGCTTTCTGAAAGACCCTTGAAAGTGCCCCACAAGCGGAAGTATCATCTTAATCATGGCAGTATCACACAAGTAACAATTTTCTTAGCGTCTTTTTCTTCCCTACCTCTTCATGCTCTAATCCCACCGGGGCCAAAAAACAGTTGCCCAACTGGGGGCACAGGTGTAGAGGCTGGCAATGAACCCAAGTAGAAGACAAGAGGAAAGATGAAGGTGACCCTGCTTTCATTCCCCAGCTAAAGGGTTCCTACTTGCAGCAGCCCAAGCTAAAAAAAACAAAAAAGGAAAGGAGACACAACTTTAAAAGTTTTGAATATCACTTTGGACAGAACTTTTTAACAACTGTACTGAGGCTGGGTTTTGACACACAAGAGGGTCCATAAAAGTCTTGGCACCTGACTGAGTTCAGCCACAGGCAGGGAAACAATTTGTCCCACAGAGACATTTTAAAGAGAAACTAGAAGACAAAAATTAAGTTGCTTTATGACTGCATCCACATGTCATACTTGTCTGACTTCAGGGTTACAGAAGAAATATGAGACAGGCTATAAATACAAGCAGAAACGTGTTATTCTTGAAGTGTACAGAGCAGTAGAAGATGTATAAAGTTAAGGATTGAAGCACATATTATTACAGGGAGAAAAATAGATGATCTAAAGTCACATCCTCAGAGCCAGACCTAAGACGAGCATTTACCCCCCTCCATTCCCAGAGGCCTTTCTGGGGCTTCTGAGAGCCGCTGTTCCCTCAGGGCCGATCTGCAGCTGCTGCACAGGGATGAAAGCCTGGCTTGTTCTCAGCGCCAGATCGACAGGTGGGCAGTCAGCACAGGGAAAAACAAACACAAAAACAAAACAAAATAAAAGCCATGGTTCTAGAAATGGAAATCCCACTGAAAACTAATTATGGTATTAACAAGTAGATCAAATTCGAAGATCTTGGTTAACTTACATTTACCTTCATGCAAGAATGTTAATAGGAAGGATGAAGACTTCTCTATCCTAGAGCTGGATGACCCCTAAGGAACCTCACACTTGCACTGGGTAAGAGATGAGGCCAGGACCGTTCTTTCTAAGGTAATTAGATTAATGAGCAGTCAATACTGAGCCTTCTTTAGACTTCAGAGTGGTTAGTTAAGTAGGCCAATTGCCCTGGGGGCCTCAAGCCACCCAGCCTACCTCAGCAATCCTGGTCCATGAGACCCAGGCAGAGGAGGGTCATGATCAAGAACTTAGGGGGCAGATACCCAGAAATCATGGGCTCACCATTATAAAGAGCCTTAGAGATCACTGTGTATAAAACTTTTAGAACATAGCAGTTGTTCAACACATGAGCAATGATTTTTCTTACTATTATAAGATGACTCTAGTTCTAAACTTAATCTCTATGTGGAGTTCACTACTTAACCACTCTGTAGTTAAGTTACCACATCTGTAAAATAGGGGCAACTACCACGTAGGATCATTGAAGATTAAATAAGATAATAACACAAACCAAGGGCTTGATGAAGGAAAGCTATGACTCTTATTAATACTGTCACCATTCTTCAGTCCAGTTTTCTCTCTGACATCACCTCCAAATAGTTGCCCAGT